TCATGTTTGCTTCAAGTGCCTGGCTGCCGGCCGCCATCTTGGCTGGCAGTTAATTTGCATATTGCCCTGATTAGCCAATGGGAAGGGTAGCGGAGTGACACCAATTTGCATGTTTCTCTTTTATTAGTGTAGATAGATGATGATCATATCATACAACCAAACACAGACAAATAATATTAGGTAGTCTTGCAAAAAGACCAAGCACTCTTATAAAACAAATATGATATTGAAGGAGAGGGGGATTAACTGGGGAACTTATATGCATATGTGCATAGCCCATGGACACAGAGAATAGTGTGGTGACGACTTGGGAGGGGCACGTGTGAGGTGGAGGGGGTCAATGGGAAAAATAAAAATAGAACAACAAAAAATAAAGGGGACATCTGTACTTTCAACATTAAAGATAAAATAAGTAAATAAATAATAAAGAAAAAAATAAAACAAATATTGTATAACTAATGAAGATGTCTATATCAGCAGAATATATAGAATAATCATGCAAAAAATATATATATGTAGGTCTGGCAGAAAAACAAAGGTAATGTGGAAAGGAAGGGAAATTAAAGTTAATTTGACACATCAGGTGGTTTTCTGTACCCTTGTTAGATATCTTACAGACTTAGGAATCTGTCATATAAATTTTTAAAATATATTTTTATTGATTTCAGAGAGGAAGGGAGACAGGGAGAGAGATAGAAACATCAATGATGAGAATCATTGATTGGCTGCCTCCTGCATGCTCCTACATGGGATCGAGCCTGCAACCTGGGCATGTACCCTTGACCCAAATTGAACCTAGGACCCTTCAGTCTGCAGGCCAACACTCTATCCACTGAGCCAAACCAGCTAGGGCAGGTATCTGTTATATTTTGGCAGCAAATTAAGGCAATACTTCTTGATTACTGCCAAAGCACTGCATTTCCATCAAACTACAAATTACAGAATACAAAGTGAGGCAAAAGTAGGTTTACAGTTTTTCACTAGATGTACCAGTTAATAATGCGGATTTTGTAATCAAGAAAACACGATAATTTCAAGAGAAGCATCAAAAGTGCTTTATTCAAAGTAATGTCCATCACTAGCTACACATTTCCCCATCTTTCAGGTAATTTGTGGATACC